TGGTGTGAAATAAAAAAAAAAAAAAAAAAGGAATTTTTACCAGTCAAGCAGACTAAGGGAGGCAAATTCTCTGCAGGAGCAACTCCGGAGTCAACTGGAGTCAGTGGAATTATGCCAGCAAAGATTTTGGCCCTGTATGTGCATTTCCTAGACAAAGCAAGCATCTTTGTCATCCTGAGCAAAAAACATTTTCTAACATGAACACTTTAGGATGCAGTATCTTTGCCAGAATGGAAAAAGGCTTCACCTCACTGTGGGTCTTGACCTCTTTCTCTCACTGTCTGTCTGTCTCTCTCAAGAAAAAAAAAGCTTAAAACAATTTCCTCAAGTCAAGTCTGCCTCCAACAGAATTAATTATTTATTTTTTAAATCCAGAAATGATTTCAGCTTGCACCCCAGGTGGGAAGTTAAAAAGAGGGAACCGATTTGAACGTTTGTCACAGTAGGCAGAACAGTCGCTTTGCAGCCCTTGCCTGGCTAAGGGTGCACTGCTTCACAGCTACACTGTAAAGTGTTAAAAATCCTCCCCACCCACCCCAGAATATATATATATGTATGTATAAAAAAAAATCCCCTGTCCACCTCTCAGTACAGAAAAGGACCTCATCACACTGCAAAAATAGCAGTACCCACTTTGGTCAATTAAAACAAACAAAAAAAGCATACATTATTCTTTTTTTTTTTTTTTTCTTTTAAATCTGTGTACTTACCTATAATAACCAATACAGCTAAAAGCACTACCTACATAGGCAAAACTTGGTATTGCATAATTCGTATAAATTTGTATCCCCTCCCCCCAATATTAATTGGAAGATGAAAAACATGAAAGGTTAATAGAAAAAACACCAAAATACTGAAAATATTGCTGGTCGATTACAATTTTTAAGCGGCAACTATACACAGCCATGATATGCTTTATAAATGTGAGATAAAGGTATAACTGTCTAAAAAATCCATGATGTCACACTTTTTTTCCCATCTGGAGTACAAAATATTTTGTCATAAAAATGGTAAAGATTTAAAATGATAATAAATGCAGCAAAACAAGTGTAGTGATGTCAATTTTTTTCTGTTTTTTTTTCTTTTTTTGTTTTTTTCCATTTTTTAGATTTCAAGGCAAGGCACGTAATGTGGACATTATATCTTCGTGCAAATTAGGATTACTGGAAAGAGTATTTTAATTATTTTTTTAAAGAGACATAGAGGCAAAATGTCTGCCCATGCACATTATATTTCTGTCAATATGTGAAAATTGTTGAACAAGGCTAACTTCTGAAAGCACCATGCAAGTTTTCAGCACCCTGTAATTAGACTTACATTAAGAGTGCATTATTTAAATATAACATATCCCCATCCTGGTATTACCAGTTTGTAAACGGTAAGCTTTGCCCTTGTGACATGGATTTGCCTATGTCTTTGTCTCTACGATGCAGATTTTACAGAAACATATAAACCCTATGGGTTCTTGATGCAACCAGTAACTTTAAATAAATAAATCCTACCCCTCTGTGGAGGCAGCAGCTAAACCAACATAAGTAAGTGCTGTGTTTCCATTGAATTCTTTTTCTCAAGGACATGATTTGTCTTGATTTAATGCCTTTTAATGCCCCCAAAAACTGAGGGGAAAAATAAGTTTGTTCAAAGTAATTTTTATTTCTATTTTTAATCCCCTCAATTTAGAGTCCAAGGGCTGAAGGACTTATAGTGATGACCCCTTAGATACGATTTTTAAATTGCACTTGCCTCTGTAAGTGTTTCTTTAGTGGGGAAAACGTTCACTTTTTTCCTTTTCTTTTTTTTACTGTTGCATGAGGAGATAACACTTTTACCTACATAGAGGCATTTCTTCCATAGAGCCTGTGTGTTCATACTGATTGAAAACTTCAAACCGCATAACACACTAGAAAAGGCTGAATTAAGGGCCAAAGTTTAATAAATCCATGCTGATAACTAAAGGCTACAGAGCTTATTTTTAAAACATTTAGAAATCAGAGTGTGGAGAAAATGGCTGGCTCACGGCCCTTGTCCTCCTGCAGCTCTGTTGCTGCTGCCTAGCCTTTGTTTTGTGAGATAACCAGGAATAGTGATCCCATGCGTAAACAACAAGAATACTAAACCAATAAAACTAGCTTATCATGCAAATATTAAGGCATCTAGAAAGTCAGTTAAAATATATTGTCAGAGACAGAACATCTATTTCCCAGTGGACTTCATATAACAAAGGCTACTTAGCAGGGGCTGCATTCTACCCATCAGTGAAATATCATCGACCCTTTGTATGTCATTTCAGTTTCAACCATAAGGGAATTAGTGATTGTAAGAGCTGCAATTGCTGGTCTATTTTTTCTTCTTTCTTCAGTTTCTTTTCTCATCCTGTCTTCCTTTCTTTTTTCTTTTTTTAATTTTGCTTTTATTTTTTATTTTTATTTTTTTCCCTCAGTTGCTTGTTTCTGCTTGAAGGAAAGGCTCTCCAATTATGTTCAAACCATAATTTGGGACATTTGTCGGCAGGATCGGCGTCCTGTTTGATACTTGAAAAGGAACCAAGCTAGCCCAGGTACCAGGACTGTTGAAAAGGAGAAAAAGATAAGGAGAGAGAGAAAGAGAGAGAAAAAACAAAACATAAATTAAACATCTTGCAAAAACCAGAACACAATGAATTTGAATCAGGGTTAATAATGAGCCAACACTCATTATTAATAGCACTACTTAAGATAAAGTAAGAAACGAAATTTGTGAATATTACTTGAGATTCTACTTTACAGTTTTCTTTGTGAAAGTATGACTTATTTGAAAGAAAAATAATTGTGTTGATGTCAGTTGCAAGCAGCATTACTGCTTTCTTACACTAAGTGGCCTGTTTGTTTATGAAAGCCCCCAAAAATTTCAGATGCAAATATACAGAGCAGACACAACTAAACCATACAAGCAACACTATATGGCACCAGGGACAACAGCCAGTGAAATACACTACAGTGAGCAGGTTTGCTCTTTTCAAGAACATAACATAAGGTTAAGTGGTTAAGTTTCCTGTGCATTTCCTACCCTCTTACAACCCGGCAGTTTATCTTGCCTCAGTCCCAAGACGTGCCTCTGAGGTGCATGGGTCCCCATGAGAACAGAGGACCTTTAATGTAAAAAAAAAAAAAAAAAAACAAAAAAACCAAACAAAAAACCAAAAAACCAAAAACCAAAAAAACCCAAACAACTTTCTTTACATATTTTTCCCAAAAAGTATCAGTGCCTAAAGTACATTGGATAACACAGGGCCCCCATCATGTAAGCACCTGCAGCCAAAGGTAGCTGTGAAAGAAGGGTAGCACCGAGTACCATAAATTTTTTGACAAAGATGTGAGAAAGAAAATCTTTTCAAAGGCAATTCAATGACTTTGGAACTTAAGTCATCATTCCAAAAGCACTCTGTCACTGAGGAGCTTCAGTACCAATGGCTTTACATGTTTACTAGACACTAACTAGTAGTAGGTACAACAGTATTTGCAAGATGGATACTCAAAGAAAGACCTCAGTTCCCTCTATTCAGTACCCAGAGCAGACCCTGAGCAGCCTTTTCCTTAGAAGTCTTCCTGGCAATCCAGAAGTAAGAGACTTTAGAGAAAGTCTCATCAAATTTGTTCAGAAGAAAAATGGCATCATTATGTCAGCACTCATTGCCAAACAACTAACACCAGACCTGGACACACTGCATGCAAACACACGCTTCCTCCACATTTCATTGTATGCAGTTTTTCTCCGCACTAGGTGTTTCCACAAACACAGCAGCTTACTTGGGAATACACTTTGGGATTAGACTGATAAACTTCACAGTAACACATCTGAAGACTAAAACCTCCACCATATATTTTGTGGAGGACAGATGCTGGAAGGTTTCTTCCTTCTCTGTCTTCAGTCACCCCTCCGTACTGCTCTCTCCCTCGACGAGCAGATGCACTTCTGTGGCATCGAGTATAAAGAGGAAAACAGACCCTTTTTGTCTATTTTAAATGTGTTCGAAATAACTACATTTAATTTGACAGATTTATGTGATCCTTTCAGTTGCTGCTGTATGAACACTGAAGAAAGAGGTCAACTTATTTTGTTAAATCCAGGGGACGTATTCCATGTCTTTTATAATAAAAATAATACAAACAGCTTGTTGTTTACTCCTGTTTGATACTCTTTACCTCTCTAAACCTGTTAATTTACTATTTTGATTCCTAACAATTAACTTCAAGTGCTCTGTTTTGCATACAAAAAAGTGGAAAAAAATTCCTGACCTGCTTGTCTCAGGGATGGTCAAATTCTGAAGGGAGCAGGACTAATTTTTTTTTCCTCAAGGAAATATAAGAAATATTAATATCCTAATGTATTTTAAATGTCTGAAGTAAAAAATAATATTCCACAGGGTGGTTTTTTTCCTGTTGTGTATATCCTTGAAGGCCACCTAAAAATCTGGGGAATTTCTTCAGAAATTAAAAAAATGTTATTGTATTTTCAAAACCTAAGATCAGCTAATAAGTAATTTTATTTTTTTTTAATTCTATTGACTGTTACAAATAAAATAAATTCTGTTGTTGGAGAAATAACCCCTTTTGAAATTCAAAAATCATATTTACACCTCAAATCTTGAAATATTCACAAAGACTTAAACCCAGTTATACATGAAAGATTTCTCCAATATGATCTGATGAAAAGATTATGTTTAAAAAAAAAATCAATACCAGAACCTCATTTAAGAGGCTTAATTGTTTCAACATAATCTTCATCTTCCTTTGCAATTTGTTTTAAAATGCATCTTTTGTTCCTTCTTCAGATTTCAGTGATATTAAGAAGTAAATTCTGAAATAACAGACACATTGAAAATCGTTTCCGAGTACAGGGATTTGTAAAAATAGGAACTAGTAATAAAAACTACAAATTAAAAAAAAACCAAGCAGATTTGTTTGCTCAGGGTCTGTCTGAATCTCTGTTTTACAGTATGTACTTCTTTGCTGTCCTGTTACATGGGATTTGCAGTGTTCAGCGACCTTAAACAAAATAGAACACTTAATGTAAATTTTGTGCGAGATCAACATGGTATTTAAACAATTTCTGTTGCAAAGGATAAATACACAGCTTCCAGGTTATCTTTCTGAAGATTTACAGTGCACTTCAGTGGCTGGATACATATATATATATGTGACTTTTTCCTTTGTTTTAAAGTTGACAACCTTCTAATGACTCCAGAGGGTGAAGGAAAGCAGTCAGTGCTGATAAAGAACAAATTCCTATTTGTAGCAGGTTGCTTATCTACTAGCTCATATAGCAGACAGAGATCTTGATTTTGTGGAAAGTGCTCAGTAAAAATAAGTTGTAGCAAGTGACTAGTAGAAGTATTCTTGCCATATGACCTACAAATTTAATATAGGTGTTTATTTAAACCTTTCAAGCCTCCCATCTAACGTGGTGACCATGACAAAAAAGCGGATTGCAACAAATTCGTCAGTGCCACTCATGTATCCTCAGGGAGCAATAAAAATCTCCCACGTTAGCATTGCGTAGACCCCACGGGAATTTCGGAAGCCTCTGGTGCTGCTGAGGCTTCCGCCGCCCGCCAGAGATGGGGGTGCAGGCAAGGGAGCACCTGCGGCGGGTGGGCAGCGGCACGCGTCGGGGGGCGGTGGCTGGGAGAGCCATCCCTCCGACGCCTCTGAAGGCGGGATGAAGTCCCCGATCCGCACACACCCGCTGGGCAGTGAGGACGGGCCATGCCCTCTGTTTGCTGGCACTTCCTAAGCTGGCATCTTCAAGGCTTGATAAGCTCTGGTTGTATTTTAGAAATTAACCTTATCATGCTGCACTTTGACGTAACTCTATCTCGGGCCACCCCAGTCCCGATACCACCGTCAAGTGTTTACCGCAGGCAAAACAGGAAACCTGAATGAAAGTTAACGAGGTGAACAGCAGTAATCACAGCACAAAGCTCTCAGAACAGCTAAGGTACAAAGCATAACAAAAAAAAAAATAACTCGTGCTCTGCTAAGCTGCATATGTATGGCTGTCTATCCAACATTCCCACATACCCATTACACTGAGGGTAAATTTAATTGAACTTTCAACTACCACATGAGCCACACCGTGCTCCACAGCTCCCCAGTGCTCCTGCGTGCAGCCAAGCCAGACTGATGGCCCAGAAGAGCAAGGTCCCCTGTCAGCTTTCTCAAACCTGCTCTGAAGGGACCACCGTGAGCATCACAGAGTTGAGTTTCTCCCATGGAACCACTGTAGGGTTTCTCTGCAGAACATCCTAGCATAAGCACCAGCTACTGCTGACTGCAAAGCAAACTCTGCCTGGGGGCCCACATGGGTGGCAACAGCAGGAAAGGGGAAAACATCTGTCCCTTCACCACACTTTCCTGCAGTTTGCATAAATCCCAGGTAAACTTCCAGCCCTCGGTTTCACAAAAGCAGAGGTTAACGCTCTGTCTCTGTTCATTAAATGCCTCAAAAGGGGGGAAGTCAAAACTCTTTCCATTGCCCAGGACACAGGCAAGCTGGTTATCCTTGCAGGAGTTAATGAGACGTCTCTCTGCCCATGCATCGTATTCTTCAGATAAAAAAAGCTTTCTATGTATGAGTGGAATAAAGCAGGTCCATCCCACTCCCCAGTTCACTGCTGCCAAGGAAATCTGTGAGCCTTGCGCTGACAGAGGTTATAACATAAATGCTTGTCCCCTGGATTATGAAGCAAGACATCAAAAAAAACGCTCTAGGCTAAGTTTTGAAGAAAATCACATGAGAAGCACCATCAGATATTGCTGTAAGATTCAGACTAGTAGCCTTTGTGAGAGAGAGTATGGTTTCCTGAAGCATTATACCTCTAAGTAATTTCACTACCAGAAACAGTTTTCTTTCACCCTAACTAGACTATATCAGATGTGTTACACAGTCACCAGTTCCCTCTGCATCCACAGCAAGTATAATGTATTTATCTGTTCAAATGTAATAAAATAGCAAAGGAAAATTCTGCAGGCATCCTAAAGGGTTAACATTTTCCATTACAGTTTCCATTATAGTTTTCACATGTTAATTCAATCAAGATTTCTGCCATGATTTCCTCTTAAAGATAATAATTGCTGTTTCAAGAATCTCTGATTAAAATATTACTGGAATGGACCACAAGCAGTATTAACATTATATGTATATACAGTTTGCTTTGGAGGTTATAATAACATAAAGAGTATAATAATGTTAAACAATTAACTAAATGCAATAAAAAATAAATCAAATAAGACCTGAGTAAATCTGAAGGATTTTAAGACTCTTGTTTTCCACCAGTTACTACCTTCTTTCTACTACAGCTTGAAATCTGTAAGACCGTTTCACCATTCGGAAAGTACACCTAGACCAGTATTTCCTTCTTGCAGCTTTACTACTTTGTGCATGAACACACTAGCTTAGACAAGGTAGATCAGATTGTGCCAGGTCAGTCTTTGGACATAAAAGGTAGAAATGCACTTCAAGAAAAGTGGCACTAGCAAGGGACCCAGCAAGGTTCATCTCTCTCTGTACTAACAAGTGCTAGCCCAC